ACTGGTACTAGAGGAGTTTATAAGAAACCCACATCAGGGCCAGGCACATGCCAGACTAAGGGATAATCTGAGGGAAATGAAGAATGGGAAGGAATGTCTGTCTGTCTGTCTGTCTGTCTATCTATCTATCTAGATATATAGATATATAGATGTTGTTTGTTGTTTGGTGCTGTCGAGTCGTAGACTCATAGTGACCCTATGAACGGACAGCCTGAGCACTGTTCGTACATAGAGTTTCTGGAGGCAAGCCATTTCGGAAGTGGATGCCACTCCTGCTTCCAGGCTTGATTTAGTCGGGAAGCTCCAGCCAACACTGTCCACCAAGACCCTGGGAGGAGCCAACCAGGAACAACATGGGCGCTTCCTCTCTCAGCTGCCTTTTGGCTTAAGGCCGCCTCCTGGTTCAAACCCTAGGCCCAGGCTGGCTAGCCTCGCTCCTGGGGACAGAGCAAACCTGCACGTAACAAACACATGCCCGGAAAAGCAGTCGACTCCAAAAGCTTGCATGATACCTGCGCTCACACCACCATGCTCCTTCTGGCAAGGAGAACTTCCCAAGATCATGTTAAATAAAACATGAGAGAATGGTAAAAGCAAAGAACAGACCTTGGAGCAAGTGACATCACTTCCCTTAGTTCTTACCTGCCACTCTTACTTGGACTTTTAACATGCTGTATTACTGATCTTTCTGGCTCTGTTCCAGTAGTATGTTGGTAAACCAATTTTCTGGGGAAATACAAGGAGACCTCATTCTTTAGTATTTGCTGATATCTGTGGTGTGAATATTTCCACTTTGGTTGATTTTTAACACCTCTGCATGATAGCAGCTAGCTCACAGAATTCCTGAAAATTTAACAAATGACTCTGGAGGATCAATCTGAGCCAACTCCAGCACACTGTTGCGTGTCTAATCCCTTTTCAGTTATCCTCCACACTGCTGCCAGAGTTAATCTTTTAAACCCTAAGCTCGTCCACAGCTTCAAGTCTTAAATGCGTATATTCTGAAGTGTTTGGGTGTGTGAAGGATTCTTTCCAAACTGCACCCTGTCGTCTCCTTGTAGCCTCATCTGTTATTCTTCCCAGAATATATACTTTGTGATCCAGACATACAGAATTCAATGTACCTCTTGTTTCTCAAAGTAAGCCATGACATTTGCTTATCCCTAAACTTCCTTCCTGTTAGTCATCTGTCCATATGTCATGTTTTGGTGACTTCTTCATGTTTCTGTGATGCCTATGCCATCAGTGTTTTAAATACCAGTATGGTCACTCATGGGTTTAGTAGTTTTTTTCAGACTCAGAGATTAGGAAGTAGAACATGGCAATCCACTTTTGGGGGGAACGGGGGATGAAAGCCAGGGAAAACCTTCTGCACAGTAACATAACATTATGGGACATAATACTTAAAGATGAGTCTCTTGGATTGGAAGGCATCCAAAATATAACTGAAGAAAAGTTGCCACCTTAGAGTTAACTTTAATGATGTGGATGATGGAGTAAAGCTCTCAAGACCCTCATTTGTTGATATGACACAGCACACAATGAGAAAAAAAGCCAGATGCAAACATCCATTAGTAGTTGGAATATAGAATGTACAAAGCATGAAGGAAAATTAGAAGTTGTTAAAATGAAATGGAATACTTTAAAATCCGTATACTAGTTATTAGTGAGTTGAAATGGACTAATATTGACCTTGCTAAATTGAACAATCATGGTTTACTATACTTGGAATGACAAGGAACAGCATAGCACTTATCATCAAAAAGAACATTTCCATGAAAAGATAATATCCATAAACCTATATGGAAAATTAGTTAATATATTGTGTGCTGTCAAGTCCAAAGTGACTCATAACTATCCTTTCTGGAACAGAGCCAGAAAGATCAGAGGCTGTAAATTGCATGGGAGAGTATCTTTCATGGAGCAGCTGGTAGATTTGAACTGAGTTAAATATTACTCAGATTTGTATGTGGATCCCTAATGTTAAATGTGAAAGAAAAGAAATTACCAACCTCTCTAGTCTGAAGTTGACCAAGCATCCAGTAAAGATGTATTAATAGTTCCTAATGATTAAAATCACACATACTTTGGGCACATGGCCTCAAGAGACTGGTCCTTGGAGAAGGACATCATGCTTGGGAGGGAGAAGTGACAGCACAGGAGAGGAAGACCCCAGATGAGATGGATTGATACAGTAACTGGGGCAGTGGGGGTTGGTGTGTCAGAATTCGTGAGATTGGCTCAGGACATGACTGGGTTCTCTCAATGAGTCACAAGTGATTTGACGACACATAACAACAACAACAACAACGATTTAAATATGACAGTTTGAAACAGAGAAAAGGATCAATAATTGAAAAATATAGCCTTGGTGGCAGAAATTATATCAGAGACTGCATGATAGACTTTTAAAAGACCAACGATTTATTCATTACAAATACTGTTTTTCCCTTAACAACATAAATAGCAACTTTTCATTGAATATATGTTGAGCATTTCTGGATGGAATATTTAGAAATTGACTAAATTACCTCTGTGAAAAAGACTATAAAGAAGCTCAGTATCATCAGTCAGAGCAAGACCAGGGGCCATCTGTGGAACAGATTATAAATTGCCATTATACAAGTCAATCTGAAGCAAAGGAGAACTAGTTCATGAAAGCTAGAATCCCACTTTTAATATGACCTACCTAACTAGAGACCATTAGAGAAGAGATTTGCTCAGAATGACCAAGCAAACACTAATGATCGGAGACCAGACAAGTTTTGAGTTGACATCAGGCATATGGCACATGAGGAAGGCAATTGGTCACTAATACAACAGGACAGACCACTATGGGTGCCAGAAGAGCCTCTGAAACCTGCTCTTGAGCATAGAATAGCTCACACAAATAGAAGAAATGATGACATGAAAGAGTTGAACAGAAGATTTCAGGTGACTGGAGAAGGAAAAAAGCTGCAAATATTACACTTAAACAGTGTAGTTGTAGCTAATTAAACTATATATAGAAAAAGTATGATAAGAACATGATTGACGAACTCCATACAACGCTCCACCGCCACTGCTGCTGCCGCTACACGGTCCGCTCGCCAGCACCACCCTTCCGACAGTTCTGCCACAATGGAGGACATGAACAGCAACATAGACGAGTTCGCAGAGGGACCCAAGATCAACGCAAGCAAGAATCAGCAGGATGGCGGTAATACGTTTATTGGAGGCTTGAGCTGGGATACAAGCAAGAAAGATCTGACTATTTGTCTCGGTTTGGAGAGGTAGTAGACTGCACGATTAAAACAGATCCAGTCACTGGATGGTCAAGAGGGTTTGGATTTGTACTTTTCAAAGATGCTGCTAGTGTTGATAAGGTTTTGGAATGATAGAACACACACTGGATGGCAAATTGATAGACACTAAAAGAGCTAAAGCTTTAAAAGGGAAGGAACCCCCCAAAATATTTTTGTGGGTGGATTGAGCTCAGATACTTCTGAAGAGCAAATGAAAGAATATTTTGGCACTTTTGGAGAGATTGAAAATTTTGAACTTCCTGTGGATACAAAAACCAACGAAAGAAGAGGCTTTTGTTTTATCACATATTCAGATGAAGAGCCAGTAAAGACATTGTTAGAAAGTAGATATCATCAAATTGGTTCTGGGAAGTGTGAAAACAAAGTTGTACAACCCAAAGAGGTATATAGGCAGCAACAGAAAGGAGGAAGACGTGCTGCAGCTGCTGGGCGAGGTGGTAGTAGGGGTCGTGGATGAGGTCAGGGCCAAACCTGGAACCAAGGATTTAATAACTATTATAATCAAGGATGTGGAAGTTATGGTAGTGCCTATGGTGGTGATCAAAACTCTAGTGGCTATGGCGGATATGATTATACTGGGTATAACTATGGGAACTATGGATATGGACAGGGATATGCAGACTACAGTGGCCAACAGAGCACATATTGCAAGGCATCTTGAGGAGGTAGCAATCACCAAAACAATGACCAGCCATACTAAAGAAGGTCACTGACAAAAAACTTTCTAGTGAACAAGACACAATTGTGTCCAACTGTACATAGCAGCCAATTAGTTTTCTTTGTTTTTACTTTGTCCTTTGCTCTCTGTATTTTGACTAGATGTGGATTTGTGTTTATACAAATTTTATTTGTATGATTTCATGTTAAACCTCCTTTTTTCCCCCTTATGTTAAAAAAAAAAAAGAATATGATTGACATTTCTCTAATTGAAATGAATGAAGGGGATGGGGGGGAACCCAAACCAAGCCTCAAGTTGTAATACATAACTCTTCATTAGTTAAATATCTTGATGTTGTTGATATTTGCCATCAGGTTGCCTGCAACTCATAGCGACTCCATGTACAACAGCTCTGAACCCTGCTCTATCCTGAGCCTGTTTCATTGTCTGCAATACTCCTACCCCCATTACCCCAGTTACTGTGTCAATCTAATACAGGGTCTTCTTCTCGGCACTATTCCTCCACACTTCTTTCTCCAGGGACTGATCCCTCTTGGCAACATACCCAAAATATGTGAGACAGAGCTTCAGAATACTTGCCTCTGAAGAGCAGCTTGGTTTCACCCTCTCCCCAAAAGATAATTTGTTCTGTTGGCTGTCCATGGTATATTCAGTACTCTTTTCCAGCACCACAACTCAAAGATAATTGGTTCTTTATCATTCATAGTATCTGATAGCACCTAACAATAATAACAGCTAACCGTAACTTTTAATTCCCAGAATCAAGGTCCTTGCCACTAAGGAGCCAACAGGAGACCAGTCTTAAGGAGCCAACAGGAGACCAGTCTTTGGGATATAGAAAAATCAGTGAATATTGCTACTTCTTTTCTGTAATTATTCCTCTTTTTCCTCCTGGTATTAGAAAAAGCAATTTTAACTCTTTCTTGCCTATAAAGAGACTTCAGAATATGGCCACAATTTAATATCTGGGATTTAATACTCTGTAATTAAGAACTTTCTCTCCCCACCCTTTTCAGATTGTTATAAAGACTTTTTAAGTGAAGACTTTGATGTAAAGACCTATACTTCACAATCTATTCATCAAGCTATAATTGCTGAACAGCTAGCGAAACTTGCCCAAGGAATCAGTCAGTTGGATAAAGAGCTACACATACAGGTAATAGAGGGTTGTTATTAGTTGGAGTTGACTCAAAGGAAATGAATTTGTTTTGACTATCAAATTGATTGGAGTAAATAGGAAGAAGAAGAGATTGGAGTAAATACTCTTTGCCCCCACTTTTTTATTAAGTTTAATGAAAGTTTACAGAGTCCCTGCCCACCCCTCCCCTGGAGTAAATAATCTTGATTTTCTTCTAAAATTCTGTAACTTTTATAGAGCCATTTCATAATATATATAGTATTACCTTATGTTTAAGTACACACCCAATAAATATTTAAATGAAGAAAGCACATTTTCCTAGCACATCAGTCCAATCATAATGTTCCTTGGAGAGGGACATCATGCTTAAAAAAATGAGGATTGGTGAAAGAGAAGAAGCCCCTCAACAAAATGGATTCACAAAGTGAGTATAGCAGTGGTCTCAAGTGTGGCAGGATGATGAGGATAGGACATTGTTTATAGAATCATTATGAGTCTTACTCAACTTGCATCTAACAACAGCAGCAACAATAATCAATAGTACCCATAGAAATTATGACAGGCAAGTAATTTCTATTCTACACAGCAAGTCTACAGGATGCATCACCTTTGACCGATAAATATTGTGACTAAACTTCAGAGACACTGATCCCAACATAAGGAACTACCATCAGCTGATGTGTTTGAAATCACAGAAGCCATGGAAGCTTC